TCATTCTGTATACCTAAATTGCACCAATAAACTTAAATTAAAAAACAGAACAAAACAAAACCAAGTCTCATAGCCTGATGTGGTAGCCCATGCCTGTACTCCCAAGTCTTGGGTTCCTAAGGCAGAAGAAGCACAGGGTCAGCCTTGGAAATTTAGACACTGTCTCAAACTAAAAATGTACAAGGGCTGGGGGGTATAGTTTTAAAATATTCTTCTACTGGGTGTGGTGGCGCAGGCCTGTAATCCCAGTACTCGGGAGGCTGGGGCAGGAGGATCATTGTGAGTTCAAGACCAGCCTGGGCTACAAAGTGAGCTCAAGGCCAGCCTGAACTGCATAGCGAGACCCTGTCTGAAAAAGACAATCAATCAATCAATCAATCAATCAATAAATAAATAAAATTAAGTGTTTTTCATATTATTAACTACCTATTGAGAGTTTTTTTCTGGATCCTTTTATCAGACAAGTGACTTGCAACTATTTTCTACTGTCCTATGGTTTATCTTTTAATTTTATTAACTTTCTTTCAAAATTCTTATTTTTTGCAGTTTTTATAAATTAAATTTATTGGTACATTTTAGGTATACGTAATGATCACATCCGTCATAGGAGATTTATACCTGTACAGGATATATCTTTGTTCTTTTTTCCCCCCTCTTTCCTTACCCTCCCTTCAACTCTTCTCCCCATCCTTATTTACAAAAGCTTTATTTCTATTTTTTCCTTCAAAAATTCTTAATTTTGATGAAGTCAGTTTTATGGACTATGCTTTTAGGGTCAAATCTAAGAAGTATTTGTCTAGCATCAAATCACTAAGACTTATTCCTACACATTTTGTGGCTTTAGGTTTTTTAATTGGGTATAAGATTTACTTTTTATTATTTTTTAAAATTTTTTTGTCTTGCCAGGTGTGGTGGTGCACGCCTGTAATCCCAGCGCTTGGGAGGCTGAGGCAGGAGGATTGTTGCGAGTCTGAGGCCAGCCTGGGCTATAAAGTGAGTTCAAAACCAGCCTAAACTGCATGGTGAGACCCTGTCTCAAAAAGACAAATAAATAAATAAATAAATAAATACAATTTTTTTGTCTTTTTGAGACAGGGTCTCACTATGCAGTTCAGGCTGGACTTGAGCTCACTTTATAGCCCAGGCTGGCCTCAAACTCATAATGATCTGCCTGCCTTAGCCTCCTGAGTGCTGGGATTACAGGTGTGCGCCACCATACCCAGCAAATAACCTAATTTTAAAATGATCAAAAGAATAGACACTTCATGAGAGGAGACAGATTTCAAATGAGCACATGACACATGAAAATATGCTCAATATTATTAGTCACTAGGGAAATACAAATTAACATTGCTGAGATATAACTACTTATCTCTAGAATGGCCAAAAGAAAAACCCCAAACACCTAACAGTACTAATTGTTGCTTATGGATGTTGAGCAACTAGACATCTTATACATTGCTAATGGGAATATAAAATAATGCAGGCCCTTAGCAAAGCTGTTTGGCAGTATCTTATGAAGTTAAACATAAAATTACCACATAACCCAGTAATCCCATTTTTAGGCAGGTACCCAAGCGAGATAAAAACCTGTATTTCCACAAAAACTTGGCACAAATGTATTTAATAACTTTCATTCATAATCACTAAAACCCAGAATCTAGTTCAGATGTGTTTTAATGATAAACATTTATTAAATGAAATACTACTCAACAACTGAAAGAGACAAATTATTAACACCCGATGTGTGTGAATCGCAAATGAAATTCTGATTCAGGAGGTTCCATACCACATGATTCTACCTGTATGATTTTCCATAAAAGACAAAAGCTGTTGGGGCTGAAAATACATAATTCATTGTCAGGACTGCCAGTGGGAGGAGAGGTTAACCACATAAAGATAGCTTGAGAGGACTTTGGGCAGTTATGAAACCATTCTGTCTATTGATTGCCAAGGTTATATAATAGTATACGCTTGTCAAAACTTCTAGAACCATACATTAAAAAGGGTGAAATTGGCCCAGGTGCACGGGGAGCCACGGGCGGGGAGCGCCAGTCTTCCGATCAGCTTGCTTCCCGCCTCATAGGCGCCGGGAGGGAGGGCCGCTGGCTCGGGGGAGCCATGCGGCCGTGGCGAGCGCTGTTGCGCCCCGGCCCTCAGGCCAGCCACCGCCACTCAATTGAGAACTACCATGACACAGAGAAACAATGACACAATTGGCCCACCATGCACTGGCTGCAGATGCCCACCCACGGATGTGTGTGAATCATTCAAACATGGAAAAACCCCTGGGAATACGTGCCATATAACGGGCCACTCTTGATCCTGCCATTGAGAACCAGAAAGGTCCAGAGTCAGCGGAGGAGCAGCTGCTGAATAAGGACTCGGAGAACATGAGAACTCAGACTAAGCCCGAGGAGTCAGAGGTCTTGTGGACTCGGGTCATGAGAGTCTCTCGGAAGCTGTAAACCAGGAGGACCTTGCACAATACCTGCAGAGACTCCCTGGAAGCCATTCTTCCCCTGACAGTACGGGCTGTGGTGAAGCTCCGGAGAACTCTGCAGCAGGATTCCTGCTGCCTGTGCTGACAGTTGGGGAGAGGACACTAACTGGTTGTGGGGTCCCAACG